TTTGGACCTTTGGTGAAGTAGTCACAAAGATCATACTCGGAGTGTTTGGTGCACTTGTAGTTAGACCATGTACAATGGTGGTATGAGGAGGACTTGACCTCTGCCTTCACGCTGCCCCATTCACCATGACGGGCTTCTAAATTAAGGGTGTGGCCTTTGTGAGGCCCATCCCACCATTGCCCCCCCCCCCATATTCCTTCTTTTTAAAATTTCAATCAATTAAAATAATTAGTATTCTCACCCATCACTTTTTTGTCACACCCTTCTTCCCATCACAATTGCACATATATTTTAAACACTCCACGTCATATCTTTTTTACACTCCGTCAAACTACATCAAGCTTGCAATAACATATGGTCGTCTTAGAGACTAAAGAGAGGAGGTTCCCCTATGTCCCAAACAAGATGTGGAGTGGCCAACGTGCTCTTATAAGCAACCAATGAAAATTTGGAACTCATTACCCTATAATATTGAAAATCAATTTTATATGGCATTTTGATTTCTTCAACACTCTGCTCCTTCAAGTTGACGAGAAATAGATGTTGATCGTCCCAATATACCAATAACTCATATTTTCGTACACTAAGAATTGTGCAATGATCGCCCCCTCTAGCGTCTCCGGAAAGCGGGAGATTAATTTTCGAACATAGTGGGACCCAACACCAGTTTGTGTGATCCTCCAAAGTCCATATGTCAAGTAACCCTAGTGACACATTGGCATGATAGAGACACAAACGACCATCATGAACAAACAAATACATGTCTGAATGGCTAGCTCTTGTACAACTACATTTCAATTTCGGGTGAGGCAAAGTGTAAAAATTTCCTGAATCCATCTCAAAAACGAGTACCATGTGTTTGCATTGGTTTAGGTGCCTCTCAGTGAGATACACCATCAAATATAGAGCTTGGTTGACGGCGATTGGTGTAACCTTTGAGCACGACCCACATAGGACACGGCTACTTGCAACTTCAATGTTAGAGCAGGAAGCTAAATTATAAACATAAAGCTGAAAAGTTTGATTGGAATTAGCATTCGTACTTAGGCATAGATAATTGTATTCATTTCTCCACTCGTTAAAGAATAAGCCACAAACAACATGGTTCATTCTCTTATTCACAACTCCTAGTTGTCGGGTAAGGAGGTTGAAAGCATAGTCGTTGCCGAACAAACAATATCTCTCCCCCTTAATATGAAGTAAGGGACCACAGCCACCGTGTATGGAAAAGTTTCTCATCCTTTTGACATTGTTCTTAAAGTCAAACTTGGACTTGAAAAAGATGTCTCTCATATATTTGGCAAGAGCAGCGAAGGGGAATTTAGACTCCTGATCTGATGAAATTTTTCTCAACTTCTTGGCAAGCGCATCATAAACAAAATAATCTCGTTCCTCACCCCAACAACCATATTTACATTCGGCCATGATGACAGTGGGAGCTCTTTGGTTTTGCATCGTGATAAAATCACTCGATGAAGTCAGAGTCCTCCAATGTCTGCACACTTTGCGACACCGTAGAATACTGTCAGCTGGAAGCCTACTGAGAATGTTAATTAAGACATTTTCTGGAAATTGACCAAATCCTTTGTTTTGATTTTGATGGAGAATGAATAGAGAACACAAAAGAAGCAAACCCCAAGCAATGCACTCGATCACCATCGTGGATGAATCAAGGAGGAGTAAACGATAGATCTGTAACCTATGCAAAAACACAATCAAATATATAAATTATTTATGCATTGTTCTATTATTCTAAAGTTCATATATGAAATGTAGACATTCTCACACATTTTATAAGCCGGTAAAAACATATTTTTTGTGCAAAAACGCCAATCTCTTATGATATCAACGTGCTAGACTCTTAAAATGAATATATATGAATCTTAGAAACAAGAAAGAATGTATGTGAAAAATAATAATTGCAACAAAATCAATTTACATCCATAAGTCTGAATGCAACAAGGCTTCAAAGGGAAATTACATACCTTCCACTCATAAAACACCCAAATAACCATTCCGGCACAATCTGGCTTATGTAGTAATCCCAAGAGAGCGACATAAGAGCTTTCGATGAACATTAATTGAAGAAGATGAAAAGGAAACAAAAAACAGAAAATTTGAATAATCTGACAATATTAAAAGCTTAAAATCTGTTTACGAGATAATTAAGAGGGCTAATCGGCCCTTCAATCTGTCCTGAAGAATCGGAAACTATAGCGTTGAAGGAAAAACACGAGGTTATTATTCATTGGTTAAGTCATACGAATGCATATATGTGAATAGGGTTATTCCGAGGAACAAACCTAACTACTGTTTAGGTAGACAATAAATTTGTTTTTTTTTGCGATAAACCCTTCCAATATTAATGTGTGAAATTTGCACTAAATACTAAATAGTACTCCCTCCGTTTCTTAAAACCCTTCCTCTTTCATTTTTTTTGTTTTTTTCTTAAAACACTTCTCTTTTCTATTAAAAATCACTCTTACCCCTACTTTTTCATACCCTACCTATCACATCATACTTTTCGACTAACAACTAAAACATCACATTCTACTTTTACCCATCACATCAAGGGCAAAATTAGAAAATCAACTAGTACAATTTAACATTTCCTTATTCTTCCCCAAAGTCAAAAGGGGAATTGTTTTGAAAAACGGAGGTAGTACTAAAATATAATGACTTTCCTAATTTAGGACCTAAATTTTTTTATTCTCTAAGTAGGATTTAATAATGACCTAGTGAAAGAAATAATGTCCAGTATTCATGAACATTTAGTTGAATAATGACTACTTGATAATTATCAAAGGTCCTACATTAGAAAATAAAAATATATGATCTTATATTGGAAAAGTCATTATGTTTTAGTCTTATTTAAGTAAATTTCTTTATTAATATCTATATTTATATGTGAGTAATTTTTTAATGAAAATATAACACCATGTATGTGTTAAGATGAGACTTATTTTAATTTTTGTCGAGGACCTTTTAAATTTCAAGAGTGACCATGTCAGTAATTGATGACCCTCTATATTACAAAAATCAAGATGTTGTTTATAGTAATTGAATTGGATCAAATTTTTATTGTTTTAAACTTAGCTTTTTCTTTCATTGTTTTTTAAAAATGAAAAGTGAATATTAAGTGCAGAACGTGTGGCTCGTTGAATTTGACGCTTGAGAAAAGCAGTGGTCCGATTATGGGATAGCAACTCCGCCGGCCGTATCGGATCGGATCATATCGTTTCACGTCACAAAATTAATGGAAAAACATTAGAGACCAAACAAATCCCGCCTTGGTGCTCTTATTCCTCATTAATTCAAACTAATGCTAACTAACTAAAAAATCCTCTCAAACACTTTTGTGGTCGAACGATATGATAGTGACTTTTCCATGTCGGACATTACTACTAAGTTTGGTTCAAAGAATTTGAAATGGAAAAGAAAAGAAAATGAAGTGAAAAATCATTTTTCTTGTTTGGTTAAAGGGTAAAGAAAGGAAAAGTGGAAAGAAAAGAAAATGAGTAGGCAAAATGTACCAAGTGGAGGGAAAACTAAATTCTTTTTATTTGGGTATAGAAAATGAGAGAAAATCATTTTCTTTCCTTTTCCTTCCTAAATCCTTGAGCCAAACATAGTGTACATGTTTGATCCGTAATATTAAAATTTTGATATGTGGAGTATCAAAATTATAGAAATACGATAAAAATTTGATATATTAAAATTATATCTCGAAAGTCACCTTAATATATTAAATTTATATTATAACAAAAAATATTTTTTCCATAATTTGTAAAATTTGACAAAAAAAAGTCAAACTATAAAAACGTGAAAGGGAGTTAGCCTTAGAGCATGAGCAATGGTGATGCAAAAATAGAATATCACATGCTGACTTGGAACATTTCAACCAAAAAAATAGTCTAATCAATGAGTGACAAAAGAGTGGAGCGGTATGCTGCAAGTCATTGTTTTTATTATTCTTTTTTATTTTGTCCCATATTAAATCATTTGAAGTTATTTAACCTGTTTATTTTATCATAAAAAATATTTCTACTAACTCAAAATTATTTAATTTATTTTTTTCATTAAAATGCTTCTACTTTAAAAAAAACTTCTTTTTTATGCAAACCATTAAAATGAAAATAATTTTTTCTCAGTTTTTATTTTTCTTTAAATGTTTTGATTATTTGAAATTATTATTGTTATTTTTTTCTCAGTTTTTTTTATTTCTTTAATAAAAAATTACCTCTACTTTCTTACAAAAAAATAACTTTTTACTTCATTAAAAAAATTAAAAAGACATGATAGAATGCCACACTCATGCCTCTCCTTGCATGGGGAGGCAAATCTCCATTCCTGCAGCTACTCATCGTTGTTGTTGCTTTTATTTCGGATATAAAAACACGAATGTCTTGTTTTTTAGCTCCTTGCTATGTTTCTAACATTTTGGTCATTTTTTAAAAATTCTTAATACTTCCACTTCAGAGAGTTTAAATTCTTGAAATGTGAAGAATGTGTTTTCTTGAAATGATATACTCCATCCGTCCCTGAAAACTTTTCTCTTTTTTTCCATCATATCCGTCTCAAAAGCATCATTCAATTGGAGTGATTGTGAGGATGAAGTTAAATAACAAAAGAGAAATGCATTTGTTAATTCCCACTACAAAGCTTGCAATATAATGACAGATTTGTTAATATCACATCGATCATTTTATGGTCAATCTCTTCAACTCAAGCAGAAGCAGATTTGTCTAGCGGCCAAATCTGAAGTTGAGCATATGTGAACGAACAAGTCCTTTTTATTCTTTTTCTTATCAACTCCTTAGCAAATGGGATTCAACATAATCCCATTTTCTTATCAACTCCTTAGTAATTAATGATGGACATATAATTGATAATAACTACTTGATAACGACCAAAGATTCTCTCTTGTAATCCCTATATATAGGGACATATCTCTCAATATTCAATAAGATAAATTATTATCAAATTGTATCATGGTATCAGAGCCTAGGTTTAAACCCTAACCCTTTTTTTTCGAGACTGTGCTTCACCGCCGGTCTCCTTCCTCTCGCCGGTCGACCGTAAACGGCGACCATGGCTCAATCTTCAGATCCGCTTGCTTCGCTTCCTTCTGGCGTCAAGTTGCTTCTCCGCAATCTCCATAATCTTATCCCAGAGAAGCTCACCGATTCAAATTATCCTGCATGGTCTCTCAATGTCAAAACTGCTCTCGAGGCCAACCTTCTTCTTGGTTGGATCGATGGTCATGAAGTTGCGCCTCCAAAAATCCTATCCAAGGATGGCAAGGAAAAACCCTAACCCCGAATTCCAAACATGGACTGTGATTGATACTCAGATCCGTGCATGCCTTCTTGCCGTCATCAGTCCGTCTGTTCACAAGCATGTCCGCAACTTCACCACATCTGCCGATCTATGGAACGCTCTCGCTGCCCGGTATAATTCTGTTTCTACCGCTCACATCTATCAACTACGGGACAAACTTCACACACTCCGAAAAGGTACAATAACTATCACCCAGTACCTTGATGAAGTTGCCACTATCCTCACCGATTTGGATGCTCTCAACGAGGTTATTCCTGAGAGAGATGTGGTGAATGCTGTTATTCGAGGCCTCCCTCATGAATATTCCTCCTTCAAGCAAAATATACGGATGAACAATGAGAATATAAGTCTCAATCAACTCTCTGGGTGGCTGACCTCTGAAGAAATAAATCTTGAAATCGAGCAAAAATTGAGTATTGCAGATTCCGCCTCGAGAGTTTCTCACTCTGCACTGTATACAAACAGCGGTCGAGGCCGCGGTCGAGGAGGACCGAAC